CGCTGAGCGTCGCATTGGCCTGATCATGGAGGTTGCTCGTACCTCCATGATCCATGCGGCTGCTCCCCATTTCCTGTGGCCGTTTGCGGTCCGATACGCCGCGCATCAGCTCAACCTCTGGCCCCGTGTCTCTGCTCCCGAGACCTCGCCCACACTCCGTTGGACGGGACAGCCTGGTGATGCGTCGTCGTTTCGGGTCTGGGGCGCGCTCTCCCTTGTTCGCGATACCAAAGCGAGCAAGCTCTCCCCTCGCACTCTCCGCTGTGTCTTCCTGGGCTTCCCCACCGACGCTCCACCCTGGCAGTTCTACCACCCTGCCTCGCGTCGTGTTCTGTCCTCTCAGGATGTCACCTTCGACGAGTCGGTCTGTTACTACCGACTTCACCCGCACGCGTCCCACCCGGTCCCTCTCGCACCTCTCTTCCTGGTACCAGTCCCCCCCCCCCCGGTAGACCCCCTTCCCCCACAGGGTCCTGCTCCCTCAGGTGTGTCCCAGGTAGACCCACCCCCCTTGGATGAGCCAGTTGAGATCTCTTCTGACTCCTCTGACTCACCTGAGGGGGGTGACGCCGTCGCCGACGACACGGCGACCACTCGCCGCAATCCTCGCTTGGAGACCCCCCCCGGTTTCCCGCCATGGCCGTCTTCGCCGCCTCCGCAGCCTGTTGCTGTGGACTCTGGAGCTGAGACTACTGGAGCTGGGGCTGGGGGTGGTGAGTCCGGGGGTGCCCGCTCTCCTCGTCTGGCTACACCCCCCGGGTTCCCACCTCTGCCGTCTTCGCCGCCTCTGCAGCCTTCTGCTGTGGACACTGGAGCAGAGACTGAGGGTACTGAGCCCGGGGGTGCTGCGACTGAGGGTACTGAGCCTACGAGTGCTGAGACCGAGGGTCCTGCCTCTGGGGGTGCTGCGAGTTCGGGTGCTGACTCTGGGGGTGCTGCGAGTCCTTCTGGTGTTGGTGTCGTCGGAGCTCCTACCGTAGGACCTGGAGCTACTGGTGCTGGAGGTACTGGAGGTACTGCTGGTGCTGGAGGTCCTGGAGGTGCTGCTGGTGCTGGAGGTCCTGGAGGTGCTGGAGGTACTGGAGGTGCTGCTGGTGCTGGAGGTCGGGGAGCTGCAGGTGCTGCTGGTCCTGGTGGAGCTGCTGGTGCTGGAGGTACTGGAGGTGCTGCTGGTGCTGGAGGTCGTGGAGCTGCTGGTGCTGGAGGTACTGGAGGTACTGCTGGTGTTGGAGGTCGTGGAGCTGCTGGAGCTGCTGGGGCTGGAGGTGCTGGAGGTGCTGGAGGTCCTGGTGGAGCTACTGGTGCTCTTCGCCACCTTCTCAGTCTTCAGCCAGGTGCTACTGGTTTCCCTGTGGCAGGTACTACTCCTCCGTTGCTGTGTCCACCGGCGGACCAGTCACAGCCGCCGCTGCTACCACACTCCCCACTACCTGCTCCTGCTCCTTACACTGCGGTGTCAGAGTCCCTGACTGAGCGTCGAGAGCCTGAGACTCATGCTTCCACCCCTGAGCGTCGAGAGCCTGAGTCTAGCTTTGACCTTGAGCCTGAGCCTAGAGCTGCTGTCCGTGCTCGTGTTCCTCGTGTTCGTCGTCAGCGTGCTCCGGCTGTCCCCGGCACTTACGATATGACACTCCGTCCTTCCTCTGTTCCTCAGCGTGTTGTCCTACCGTTACCTCCTGCGTCCTCTTTGCCTGACGTTGCTGACCCTCCGTCTGACCTTGCTCGTGCGTCCAGTCCGACTGTTACTCGCCTTCTTGCTACGGTTGTGACGGACCCTACGTTCTCGTCTCCTGCTGCGTCTGCCCTAGTAGCTGAGCTCATTGACTTTGCTGCTGTGTACCGCCTCGACTACCTTGCGAGTCTTGTCTCTGACCCTGTCCCTGCCTGTCCTCCGTCCGTCGGGGGTGAGACTGCTCTTGGCTGCACTGCCCTTGGCTATGACGTTCTTGAGGACAGACAGGAGGAGATGGAGTGCCTTGCTGCCGCTTCACCCCATCACGCGACCATGCTGCTTGCCCCTGAGGGAGACCCGGATGCACTTGACATCCCCACCCCGCGCTCCTACAGGGAGGCGATTTCGGGTGAGTACTCCTCTCAGTGGCAGACAGCCATGGACGCAGAGATGGCTTCCTGGAAGTCCACATGCACCTACGTCGACGAGGTTCCCCCACCTGGGGCGAACATCGTCAGTGGCATGTGGATTTTCAGGGTGAAGCGGCCGCCGGGTTCTCCGCCTGCCTTCAAGGTACGTTACGTTGCTCGAGGCTTCAGTCAGCGTGAGGGGGTCGACTTCTTTCAGACCTTCTCCCCCACCCCGAAGATGACCACTCTTCGGGTGTTGCTTCACGTTGCAGCTCAGCGTGACTATGAGCTACACTCCCTCGACTTCTTGACAGCTTTCTTGCAGGGTAGCCTTCACGAGGCCATCTGGTTGCGCCGTCCACAGGGCTTCACTGGGTCGTTTCCTGCGGGTACCCAGTGGAGCCTACAACGACCAGTGTACGGCCTGCGTCAGGCACCTCGTGAGTGGCACGACACACTGAGGACGACACTTGCGGCTCTTGGGTTTGCTCCTTCGACTGCTAACCCGTCGCTGTTTCTACGCACCGACACTACTCTGCCGCCGTTCTACATCCTCGTGTACGTCAATGACTTGGTTTTTGCTACTGCTGACACTGAGGCACTAGCCCTTGTGAAGGCGGAGCTGCAGGAGAGACACACCTGCACTGACCTGGGTGAGCTGCGGAGCTATCTTGGCTTGCAGATCACCCGGGACAGACCACGGCGCACCATCACCCTGACTCAGTCACACATGGTGCAGCAGGTCCTTCAGCGCTTCCGCTTCACGTACTCCTCGCCACACCCCACTCCTCTGGCTACCGGCCACTCGCTCTCAGCTCCACCTTCGGACGAGTCCGTAGAGCCGAGTGGTCCGTACCCAGAGCTTGTGGGCTGCCTCATGTACCTGATGACGTGCACACGACCTGACCTCGTGTACCCTCTCAGCCTTCTGGCTCGCTACGTGGCACCCGGCAGGCACCGAAAGGTGCACTTTGATGCTGCGAAGAGGGTACTGCGTTACTTGTGCAGCACATCGGGCATGGGGCTCGTGCTTGGAGGACGGGGTTCGGTGGTTCTCACAGGACACTCTGACGCCTCTTGGGCCGACGACCAGGCGACTCAGCGTTCGTCACAGGGCTACACTTTCAGTCTTGGCGCTGGTTCTGTCTCGTGGAGGTCCACTCGTTCTTCTTCTGTGCTTGGTTCCAGTTGTGAGGCCGAGATCTACGCTGGGGCCATGGCTGCACAGGAGCTCCGCTGGCTGACCTACCTGCTGACCGACTTGGGGGAGCGGCCTCGTTCTCCTCCAGTTCTGTACGTCGACAACAAGGCAATGCTTGCCTTGTGTCGCGAGCAGAGACTGGAGCACAGAACGAAGCACATTGCTCTGCGCTACTTCCTTGCGCGTGAGCTGTAGCAGCGTGGTCAGCTGCGCCTTGCTTTCGTGGCCTCTCGGGCCAACACTGCTGATGTCTTCACCAAGGCCCTTGGGGCTGGTGATCATCAGCGTTTCTGCACTGCTCTTGGGCTTGTGCCCACTCTGCCTCACCTGCTGGTTGCTTGACTTGCTCTTGTTGTACACTGCTATATATATCTTTATACCTGCATGTTTACTTTTGCTAGGTTGTAATCGGTGTACTGCCTTGCTATTATAAATCTGCAAGTGAACTGGCCTTGTGGCCGCCTGCTTGTGCTCAGATTGTGTGGTGTCCTTGAGATCCACCCTGGGCTTTGCCTTGTTTGTTCTCTTGCTTGACTGGTCTTGTGATCACTGTTAGGTTTGGCTATCCCCTACTTCACCTATGGGGGTGTGTCAAAACATATTGTTATGTTCTTACTCTAGGTTGTGTAGGGTCACACCTTAGAGGGTACAACCCAACTCTCTCGACATCCTTGTACCCCCTCCCTTTTACCTAATCCACACTCATTCCTCACCTAGCTAGTGATTCTAACATGGGGTACTCTATAGCGAGTACAGCCCAATTTAGGGTTTCCTACCGTCATCGCCCGGATATAAGACATATATGTCTTATCTCATACACTAAAAAAAATGCTTGGGTTATCTTGTATTTGGGGAGGTTTTGGGTGTCTTATAAGTCTTATAAATGGAAACTTTTTTAAACTACTTAGAATTTTTTTCGCGCATCTTGAAAAGAGTTTCTCATTAAGAGTGTGGATGTTGCGAAGGTGCCACTTAGGCAACCATTGTTCGGGACGCCACGTCATCCCGAATACTTGCAGAGGCAAATTTGGTAGTACGTGAGTCAGCACGTGGCAGAATTCGCGTGTCGCAAGGGTAAATATGTACGCGGTATTTCAATTCTCACTATAATACATTGCAGTTTCGATTATAAGACACATATGTCTTATCTCGTACACACAAATAGGTGTCGTATAAAAAGGCTAGCTTGTTTATAAGAGACACCCGTATAGTAGACAACCCCTGTCTACTATTCAACACTGTCTTATATCCGGGCGATGACGGTATATGTACTCAACTGCTTGCTAGTGCAACCCCTCTTCTCCTGTTCATTCTCGTTCCTTACTTTGTAACACAGAGCCCTTCTGTTCACGTTTCTTGGAACCATTAGCTACTGGCTATGCCTCTGAAAGTGGAAATTGGAGAGCACATAGCAGAGTGAACAAGCCTAATGTAAGACAAGTCTGGGTGGTTGCGTAGTGAGGATGATTACATATTTGTTCTCTACCAATTGCAGTAAAAAACAAGCACAGAAACTACTCACATGGCAAGCATACGGTACCATGTCATGTAAACCCAGCAGCAGCACTACCCTGGCACAAAGCGTAGCACCACCAACCACCACCCTAAACCACTACTTCACAGCTCCACCTACACTACACTCAATAATAGATGTACTACTGGCCCTGCTACAGGCAATATACACTAGTGCTGGCAGCGCATGGGTGTGGGTGGGGCGCTAGGAGAAGAGGAAGTGGAAGGGTCCTGAGTCGCGGAGGTGCGGCGGCATGTGCAGCCCGTTGAGAGAGAGGTTCGGCAGCTCCTTGCATATATCATCCACCGCAAATGGCACCCTGCCATATGCACACATGGTCAGAGCATGGGGTTCAGAAACAAGGGGAATCCTTTGCTTTTTGCAAGTGGAAGATGGCAGTAGTGTAGCAGTGAGAGCTGTGGGGCACACAGTGGCTGGTAGCGATGGGCAACTTGAGGTGAGATGTGTGAAGAACACAAAAACACGAGCGTGCAGCTCGGAAGCATGTGACGGAAAGGAACAAGTGGAGGGAAAAACAGAGAGGATGCTTGAAAAAGAGAGACAGAGCAAGCGCAAGAAGAGCGAGAGTGGGACGTACGAGGAGTCGTCATCAAGCAGGAAGGAGTTGGTGCCGTTGAGAGCCGACTCCTCCGTGCTCTTCACACGCATGGCGTTGATGACTGCCGGCGCCACGGAGTGCGTGCCGTACTTGTCGTCGCGGTACATGGTGCTGATGCGGTACAGCTGCTGCATGCTCAGCGCCGGACACAGGTCGCTGCTGATGTCCTCCAGTGACTTCTTGGGCTTCTGGTGGATCACCTGTGAGGGGGTCATGAGCGGGGAGGGGCATGCACAGCGGATGGGGGGTATGGCAGGGCAAAACTTGGGTTGATAGATGCGGTTGTTGATTGGTGGAACGGGCTGATGAGCGCAGGGCATGGGTCGCTGCTGATGTCCTCCAGTGACTTCTTGGGCTTCTGATGGATCACCTGTGGGAGGGGTCATGAGGGGGGGGGGGAGGGGCATGCGTAGAAGAGAGGGGGGACGGCAGGGTGAAATCTGGTGGGTTAGAGCGAACAGCATGTGGAGTGGCAGCATTAATCCCACCCAAGCGCATAAATAACCTTCATTGCAGCACAACCACGAGAAGCACACACAGCATGCACGCAGCTGACAGGTAGCAGCACAGTGTGGCAGGCACGAGAGCATGGCTCATCAGAAAGCCAACAGCTTGGCGGATGAATCTAAGCTCTTCCCATGCAGAGCCCGCTTCACAAATCCACCAAGGTGACTTTTGAGTCTACTCAAGTGTCTCACCAGGAAGCCAACAGCTTGGCGGATGAACCTAAGCTCCTCCCATGCAGACCCCGCGTACTCGTCCGTGGCCTCGTAGATCCACCGCTCCAGCTCTGCCAACCCCGCCTTCACGTACTCCCCGTTGCTGAACGAGCAGCACTCTCGGCGCAGCAGCAGGCTGGAGAGGGGAGAAGGAGCGGGAGAGGGGGAAGAAGAGGGCCCCACGGTGCTTAAGGTGCGGGTTTGGCTAAGAGGGAGAGCACGAGAGGCACAACAGGCACGTGCAGCTACCATACACAGTACACACGGAAAAACAGCACGCGCACTGTTGAAGAGCTGCACAATGATGTAGGCAAAGGGAAACAGTGGCTGGAACGCAAGATGCCATAGCACATGCACACACCCACCCACCAACACCCTCCTGGCAGAGCGCACCTGTTGAAGAGCTGCACGTTGATGTAGGCGAAGATCTGAGAGAAGAGCTTGCGCACGAGGAAGGCGGGCACGTGGTTGGCCTTGAGCGTGTTCAGCAGCTCTGTCAGCCGCGCTATGATGCCGCTCCACTGCGCCACTCCCGGCGCCGCTGCTGCCTGGCTCTGCGCGGCCGTGCACGCGTCTGCTGCCTGCCCGCGCTGCTGCTGCCGCGTCATCACCCCCGGGCGGAACGACCGGCTCGCCTGGGTGAGAGGGTTAGGAGGGGGAGGTGAGGGGAGGGACGGTAGTACCGTTGTTGCACGGTACAAGGGGGAGGTGAGGGGGGTGTGGCACAGGGGGTGGGGTGGTTCCACAAGCATGGCATGGCATAACAATGGCGTGCTCCAGTGGGTTAGAGCCGTTGCAGAGCAGTTGCACAGAACAGCGGTGAGACGGTGTATGAAGGAGGAATGGAAAGTACAAACAAGCTCATGGACTCCACACAGACCTCCCACGAACCTGGATGCAGGCAAGGCAACGAGCATCTGAGAGATGCACATGTCCTTGTGGAACTTGCCTCACATGCACGACTCCACCTTCACCACATAACGCCCTCGCAAGCCGCTGCTTGAAGAGCAGCACACAGAGCCCTCAGCGACCCCACACCACAGGGACTCACCTGAATGCAGGCGACGAGCATCTGGGAGAGGTCCTTGCAGAGGTTGCCTCAGATGCACAAGTACACCTTCACTTCACCGCGTAATGCCCTGCGCTGCTGCTTCAAGACATGCGCACTACTACACAGAGACTCCACAGGGACCCTACAGGGATCCCACAGCGACCCCACACCACAGGGACTCACCTGGATGCAGGCGACGAGCATCTGAGAGATGTCCTTTTTGAGGTTGTCGCGGATGGTGGAGTAGACCTTCTCCACGAACGCCGTGAGCTGCTGCTTGAAGAGCAGCGCGGGGAACTTGGGGTCCACCGCCTGCAGCCCGTCCGCCTGCACCGCACTCGCCTCGTCCTGCGCCGCTGCCACTGGCCCTCGGAACGACTGTTGTGGGGGAGATGGGGAGGGGCAGGCGGGGAGGGGCAGGTGTGGGGGGCCAGGATGGCAGGAGGGCAGGAGGGCAGGAGGGCCCAGGTGAGTGGTGATGATGGAGTGCGAGTATGGGGGCGCACAGCAAGCAGCAGCACAAGCCCCACTTGGGGTCCACGGCCTGCAGCCCGTCCGCCTGCACCGCACTCGCCTCGTCCTGCGCCGCTGCCACTGGCCCTCGGAACGACTGTTGCAGGGCAGGTGGGGAGATGCAGGCGGTGAGAAGGGGCATGAGGGCAGGATGATACAAGGGCAGAGGGCGGGAGGGCGGGAGGGTAGGAGGGTATGTATGAATGCGCAGGTGAGTGGTGATGATGCTGGAGAGCGAGCAAGGGGATGCACAACGGGGAGCAGCGCACTACCCACCACCACAGGCACAAGTGGCATATGCAGTGGTGCAAGGGGGTGATGATGAGTAGAGCAGCGAGCGGGGCAGCGAGCGGGGGCGCACCTGAGTCATCCTGCCAAACAGCGACGTGGCAGCCTGCTGTTGGCGCCGCCGCTGCGCCTGCATCTGGCTCTGCGAGGCCCCCCCAGGGCGGAACGAGCGGTGCAGCAGGTGCAGCAGCGCCGACGCGTTCGACAGCCAGAACGCCAGCCTGTCCGCACTGTTGCTGGTGGCGCCGGCACTGTCGTGGGTGTCCACGGCAACGCTCATGGTCTGGATGATGCGGTCAAACACGTTGGTCTGCTCCGCGTCGAAGGAGCGCCAGTGCAGCAGCGCACGGTAGAGAACGCATGCTGCCACGGGACGGTTGTTGTCGAAGCCCAGGTCTGACACCACAAACTGCAGCACTGCGTCTTGATCCGCCTGCCGTGAGAGAGGGTGGGGGAAGGGGAAGAGAAAGAGACGTGCAGCCAGGGAGGAGCAGTATTGGGAGCATTTTTTTATGCCAAAAAAATCGGTTGTTGTCCAAGCCCAGGTCTGATACCACAAACTGCAGCACCGCGTCTTGATCCGCCTGCCGTGAGAGAGGGTGGGGAGGGTGGTGAGGGTGGGGGAGCGGGAAGAGTAAGAGAGGCGCAGCCAGCGGCGTCCTGTGTGCTGTGCATCCGTGTGTGTTGCATGTATGTGGGGATTTTGGAGACGTTTTGGGAAAAGAAAAGTGTGTGTGGATCGGAGGGTCTCAGAGAGGAGAGCACGAGAATCCTCAGAGCAGGATGGGAGTTGCTTGCATGGAGGTCTAAGCCGGAGCTGATTCACACTTGATCACACACACACACTCACCCGAAGACACCCCCCCCTTCTCCCTAGAGCTTTCCCTCTTCTCACCACCCTCTTTCCCCTCTTCCCCACCCTCCTTCTCCCCCCTCACCCCACACCCCTCCCCTCTCCACGTGTTCCCCCCTCCCCTCACCACGCACCCCTCTTCCCGCCCTTCCTCCCCACCTGCTGTCGCTCCGCCAGCACGTGGTGGCGTTTCATCTCCGCCTCCTGAGACGCCGCCACCTTGTTCGCCGCCTCGCGAGCAGCAGGCAGCCCCACGGGCGGGGGCGACGGCGCCACAGCAGTGCCATGCGCCGCCATGCCGAAGAGCGCAGAGGACAGCCGCCCGGAGGGGGCGCGCTGAGGCGCGTGCAGTCCACCCGGCGCGGCGCCGTTAGCGGTGGCGGTGGCCATTGAGAGGGACTGGCGGCGCAGCACTTGAAACTCCCGCTCCATGCCCTGTAGGTGCTCCTGCAGCCTGCACGTGAGAGGATGGAAGAATGGATGCATGTGAGGCATGGGGTGGTGAGTGAAACAGGGAAGCAAGTTGCAGCACGCAGCACTTGAAACTCCCGCTCCATGCCCTGTAGGTGCTCCTGCAACCTGCACTCGCGGAGAGGGGAGAGAGGGGTGAGAGTTTAAGTGGCTTCTTTTGAGGCGCCTCAAAAGCCGGAGAGGGGAGAGAGGGGTGAGAGGGTAAGTGGCTTCTTTTGAGGCGCCTCAAAAGTCGGAGAGGGGAGAGGGGGGTGGGGGGGTAAGTGGGAGGGGGTTGTGTGTGAGGTTGCGAAAGTATGGATTGATGAGTGCATGCGAGGCATTGGGGTCGTGAGAGAAACAAGAGGGCATCATGCAACGGATTAGGCGGAATGTAGGTGGATGGGTCACTTGGAGGTGGAGATGGGGACGAGGCGAGGTAGGGTGGTGTAGACCGTGTAGTTGCCTCTGAATACCAGTGACTGTTCATTGAGCGACAACCTCCCAAGCCCAAGAGTCACAGCAGGACTTTTCAGTAAACTCAAGAGTCCATTCGAGAGGAGATGGAAGCAGCAAGAACCCCGCGAACATGGAACAGACAAACATACCGACCATGGGAAACAAATTAACAGGTCAACGAACGCACCTGCCACACTCGCCCTTGAGTGTGAGAACATCATCCTCCAGCTCCCGAATGCGCTCCTCCCTGCGTGCAATCACCTCCTCCATGGCCGCCGCCCGTGAGTCCGACGCCTCCAGCGCCTCCTTCAGCTTCTCGTTCTCCAGCATCGCTGCACTCGCCTGCGCCGCCGCCGCCACCACCGCCGCATCCACCACCACCCCGTTCATCCCCCCCTCCACCACACCCCCCTCCCCTGCTGCTGCTCCCTCGCCCTCCCACGGGCCTGCTGCCCCGTCCACTGCAGTCCCTCCGTTGCCCACGGTAGCACCAAGGTCCATGCGGCCTGAGGGACTGCTGCCAGAGAGACGCGCGCTGGAGATGCGGGACAAGGGGTGCGAGAACGCAGGGCGCGCAGCAGGGGAGGAGGGACCAGCAGACGCACCACCAGCAGCACCAGCAGCAGCAGCAGCAGCAGGCAACAAGAGATCCACTGCCCTGGCGCCGCCAGCACCGTGCTTGGCTGGCTGCGGTGGCGACACCATATCTCTGCCGGAGCGCGACGCCATGAGCACCGGTGATGCTGCCGCTGACGACGGCGCCGTGTGCGTTCCCGACGCACTGCGCCCTATTCTTGTCGCCTCTCCCCCTGCCACCCCACCAGCTGTTGCACCCCCTCCTCCTCCTCCGCCTGCGCGCAGCTGTGCTTGCAACTGGTCCACCTGGGTGGTGGTGGTGTGCAGGTCTGTTTTGAGCTGCTCCATCTCCTGCTGCAGCCGCGCTATCTCCGCTGATTTCGCCTCCTCCAGGTCCGACTGCACGCACGCAGGGCGGATGATGCAGGGTGCAGAGGGGTGCAGGGGGGTGCAGGTGGGTACAGGAGGATGGGGGCATGGTGGGACGTGTGCCAGATGTGCAGGCAAGTGTGCACTGCACCATACAGCAGCCCTGCTACGTTCCATGTCACACATGACATGACCACAGCCGCATAAACCAGCACTGCCCCGCTCATCCCCACCCGCATCCCCTCATCACTGCTATCCACCACACCCGTTCAGTGCTTCTCACCCGCATGCGCTTCTCACCCGCATGCGCTTCTCACCCGCATGCGCTTCTCACCCGCATGCGCTTCTCGAGCTGCAGGCGCCATGTGAGCTCCTCGCACTGCTTCTCCAGCCGCGTCTTTGCCGCCTGTAGCGCCCCCGTTTGCTTCGCCTCCTGCCACGCACAGGAGGGAGCCCGGGTGAGAGAGGGAGGAGAGGGAGGGAGAGAGGGAGAGGCAGAAAGGGAGAGAAAGAGTGGTGAGAGTTGATGTGAAGCTGCTGGTAGGGATTATGTCGTCTGGGAGTGGGCAAGTTGTGAGACCAGAGCACGAGAGGCACTGAACTGGGGCCGTGCGAGGTGAGCGAAGGGGAAGGGGCCGAAACATTGAAGTATAGGAATTTGAAACAGAAACAATGAAGCAACGAAACAGAATGAAAGATCAAGGCAATTAATGACAGTGGTGCAGTGGTGCCCAGGGCCTAATATCCACAGATGCCTTCCCCCCATCTCCTTCCCCACTCCATCCACCCTGCCCAGCCATGACACCATCTCTACCTGAGCCGCCTTTCGAGCTGCCTTTTGACGCGCTTCAAAAGTCAGAAGTACACCACTTCTATTACCTGCTCTGGCCTATCCCCCTTGCCGGCTCGTCTTTTTTTTTAAGAAACCTTGCACAAACTATCCCCCCCTCTCTTCCTCCTTCCCCTTCCCCCATCCCCCCCCCTATGCGCACGTGTTTGAGTCGCTTGAGGTGCAGGCGGGCTGCTCTGCCCCTCCACGTGCACTGCATCACCACCGCTGTTGCCCTCAGCTTCTTATACGCCCGCCGCTCCCTGTGCCCGCGATACCGCGTCTGAGGAGGATGAGACGCAGGGGGGAGAGGAGTGGGAGACCGGGAGCAGTGGAAGAGGAGCAGCAGGAGGGGACCAGGAGGAGGGTGAGCGGGAGGTGAGGGCAGACAAGCATGCATGGTATTTCTAATTTCCGTAAGGCAAACAGCTGGCCACACGTGCAGATGAACATGATGGGGACAAGCAACCTTGCTCATTCTCCTGTCTGCCTCACACCTGCACACTCACCCGCGCCACCTCCCTGGGCCCCTCACCTCTCTCATTTCCCTACACCCTCTCAGCCTCCCACAACCCCCCACATCCCATGCACATTGCCCTCTCATCCGCACAACACACAGCACGCAAAGTACAGTGCATCTGTCATGGCCCTGCACGCACCTGAATGCGCGTGGCAGCAAGGTTCCGCCGTCTGCTCCTGGCCTCAGAGCGCGCGAACATGCCCCTCGCCCCCGCCTGCAGCGTCAGCACGGCGCGCTGCACGCGCGCGTACTGGCAGAGCGCCAGGTGCGCGCGGTAGTGCTTCTGAATGCGCACCGCTGCTGCCTCCCTGCGCCGCCGCTCATACTCCTTCCTGGCCGCCTTGCCTGGTGTGTGCAGGGGAGGAGAGGGGATGGGATGGGATGGGATGGGATGGAATGAAATGAGTGCGAGAGGGGGGATGGGTGCGAGAGGGGGGACGGGAGCGAGAGAGAGGCCGAGAGCGAGGTGGGGGGATGAGAGAAGGGGTGAGAGAGAAAGAGCTGGGAGGGAGCAGTGTCAGATGAGAGTAGGTGGAGGGGGACGGAGGGAGGAAAAGAAAAGGTGGTGGGAGGGTAAGTACATAGGGACACACAAATGACACAAACACGTAGAACATGCACGTGCACCCACAAATACACATGCACACACACATGCACGCATGCACACACACATGCACCCATGCACCCACACATGCACCCATGCACCCACACATGCACCCATGCACCCACACATGCACCCATGCACCCACACATGCACCCATGCACCCACACATGCACCCATGCACACACACATGCACCCATGCACACACACATGCACCCATGCACACACACATGCACCCATGCACGCACACATGCACCCATGCACGCACACATGCACCCATGCACGCACCTCGCCACAGCGCCTGTGCTTTGACAGCGGCCTTCCTGAGCGCGAGGAAGCGGCGGCGCTGCAGCCAGCAGCGCGTGTAGCGCTGGATGACCCGCACGGCGGAGTTGAGGTGCTGCGTGCGCATGGCGTCTAACATCGCCATCTGCCCCGCGCGCAGAAACACCTTCGTCTTCCCCACCTGCCGTGCCATGGGAAAGAGAGACAGAGAGCGAGAGACATTGGGGCGGGAAAGAACAGGTGGTGGGGTATGTTGGTGCGCAAAGCATATTGTAAGGGCGCGGAAGGGGAAGAGAAAGAGGCGGTGGCCGCGCATGATTTCCGGACAGTCGTCAACCCAGGTCGGTTGCCGGGTCAGGCTGGCCCGCCAGGCGAATTGTAGCGGGCCCGGGTCACGCGGTCGAGCCCAGGTTCCAACAACCCATGTCGCACATGTCACTTCTTTCTTAGGTCACGGAAATACAAGCTCGAAACCTGATTTCGCATTCCAGCCACAGGATCCATCTTAGGTCCATCCAGCACCGCACCATCGGCTTTTTCATAACGAACAGGATGTGTGACATTGATTCAAAACAATACTTGCAGCCGTTTGGACTTTAACACTGGCTCGAGCGGGCCCGACCCAGGCCGAGCAGCCATGCTGGTCAAGCCACAGGAAAGGACCCCGAGCTGGCCCACAAAGACTGGAAGCAGCCCAGCCCGGAAATGACTGGGTTGGACCGATTTCCGCTTGGCCCTCGCTCATGGCTATTTCGGCATGAGTGGGTGTGAGGAGCGGTCGGAGAGGGTTTGAGTCGCCTCAAAAGTCATTTCGGCATGAGTGGGTGTGAGGAGCGGTCAGAGAGGGTTTGAGTCGCCTCAAAAGTCATTTCGGCATGAGTGGGTGTGAGGAGCTGTGAGGGAGGGTGCCATGGGGAGCACTGTTGGCGTGTGGAGCGGAGAGGCGGAGGGAGCAAGAGAAGTTTCCGGCGAGAGAAGGGGTTTGGGGCGGGAGGAGGGGTTTGGGGCGCGGGAGGAGGGGTTTGGGGCGGGAGGAGGGGTTTGGGGCGGGAGGAGGGGTTTGGGGCGGGAGGAGGGGTTTGGGGCGGGAGGAGGGGTTTGGGGGCGGGAGGAGGGGTTTGGGGCGGGCGGGAGGAGGGGTTTGGGGCGGGAGGAGGGGTTTGGGGCGGGAGGAGGGGTTTGGGGCGGGAGGAGGGGTTTGGGGCGGGAGGAGGGGTTTGGGGCGGGAGGAGGGGTTTGGGGCGGGAGGAGGGGTTTGGGGCGGGAGGAGGGGTTTGGGGCGGGAGGAGGGGTTTGGGGCGGGAGGAGGGGTTTGGGGCGGGAGGAGGGGTTTGGGGCGGGAGGAGGGGTTTGGGGCGGGAGGAGGGGTTTGGGGCGGGAGGAGGGGTTTGGGGCGGGAGGAGGGGTTTGGGGGCGGGAGGAGGGGTTTGGGGCGCACCTGGAAGTTGGTTAGGCCGAGCTTCTCCAGCATGGCCTTGGCTGCTGACTTGTTGTCCTCGTAGCTGCATGCACGCATGCACACAGCACACACACACAGACACACACACACACACACACACACACACACACACACACACACACACACACACACACACACACACACACACACACGCCCATGCACCGCAACACATCCATGTGGGCGAATGGTGTTTGACAAAGACACGAAGTTATGTGTACACTCACCCACACGAGTGGGCAAACATGCGCATGCAGACGTGCACACAGGGGGCGAGAGGGGTCATAAAATTGAGCGACCGGCAAAGAGGTTACGTCAGTGGGAAGGAGAAAAAAGAGAGGGGGTGTGAAATAAGGCTGGAGCTTCATAGAAAGAAGAGAGGGCACGGAGAAAGAGAGAAAGAGGAGGCCCTTAGCCTGCCCACCTCTATACCACCACAGTATTGTGCTTGATTCAATTCGAAGCTCATCTCTCTGCCTTCCTACCTGAGCGGCTCACACTGGCGGACTTAGGCCGCACGAGGGGGCAAAAAGGCAAAGAAAACAGACCACAACCGAAGCAGGGCGGAGTACGTGGGGGTTTTTCCCACTTGCTGTGGAGACTTACGGGCTGCCCGTGTGCACAAGTGCTGGCCTTCCTCAAGCCCTTAGCAGAACCAGAAGCAAGAAAGAAAGTGCTATAACGCAGAACCAACAACTTACCAAGCGGCAAAGTTACTGCAGCAGTTCCGGCAACGATGGGCGTTTGCGCTAAAGAGAGATCAGGCCCTGAGAGACATGATCAAATCCAGCGATGCAGCTATAGCCGAGAGAATCCTGCTATCGGCGGGCCAGAAGACACTCTCTCACCTGCGGACTGCTTCACTGTATTGGAGCCAGAGTTAGAGCTCCCTTAGGCAGTAGCCGCTCAAACGTACAGAGTTGCGCCATACCTTATGAGGCCGTAGCATATATATATATGTATATATATGTGTATATATATATGTATATATATATTTATGTATGCATACATACTTATATATATACATATATATATACGCATGTGCTTGTATTTGAAAACAAATCAACGAAAGAGAGGGCTTAGGGTGCGAGGGGGGTCAGGACTCGGGTGGGGTGGGTGGGCAGAGGGGAGACCTGGAGTCGAGGAGAATATCTGGAGCGAGCATGGAGAAGCGCGAGAGGAACTCGTCAAAGGAGCGACGTGTGGGGTAGCCCGCACAGCTGATGCGAATGGCCTCCAGCACACCCTGCGAGTGGGAATTCGAGGGCGGGAAGTGAGTGAGTGAGAGTGAGTGAGGCGAGAAAGGGAAGTAGACCAGACCAGACGCGGATCTGGAGGGTGTCCCGCGCGTCCTGCATCCACACACAGACACAACAGTGGTGTACGGCAGGAGGAGAGATGAGATATGGTGCTTGGGGCATGGGGGTGGTGCTTGGGGCATGGGGGTGGTGCTTGGGGCATGGGGGTGGTGCTTGGGGGAATGAGGCACCGTGCATGACGCACATAGGGATGCGTTAAAATGCATGGTGCATGGTGCATGTTGAAAGGAAGGAAAGAAAGGGTGGTTGGGAGAGGCGTCGCAACTGCGATGCTCATCGGACTGAGGGCGTATGTGCTGCATGCACCTGCAGATTGTCATGCACACTCTTATGTCCCTGCCATGCCTGTATGCTATGCCTCCCTCTCGTTTCCATGACCTGATGACCCCACTCCACCAACCCAATTCCTGCAACCCACCTTGCCCTAATTTTTTCTCAGCCAGCACCTTCTTTTCAGTCGAATCAAAAGCAAATCTCTCGGCCACCACCTTCTGACATCTCCTCTTCCGTCTTATCCCCTCCCTTCCCATCCCTCTTCTCATCATCTCTTCCCTTCCCATGCGTATGCGTCTCATCCCACCCCTGTGCATCTCACCCCTGTGCTTCCCACGCCACCCCTGCGCATCTCACCCCGCATCTCAGCTGCTGGATGACGTTTTGGTTCTCGAATGCGCCCGGGCGGTTCTTGCTGTTGGGCTTCACACACCGCACGTAGTGCGGCTCTGTCGTGCCCAGCGACGCCATCAGCTCCGCCAGTTGTTGCTGCCACCGCGCCACATTGCACCGCACAGTGGTTATAGCACAGGCCGTAGGGAGGAGGGGGGTTGTGTGTGGGGTGGGGAAAGGAATAGGGTGCAGGGAGCGGAGGGGCGGGAGAGAAGGGAGGATAGGGGGGAGGTTGAGGAGGAGGGGAAAAACAACAGGTGAATCTTGAAAAGGAACGGTAGAGACATCTAGTTGATTCAAGATGTATTCATGGTGGGTGGGTCATCATGCCCACTGAATGGTGGCAAATGCATGGGAGGCGGAGAGGACTGTGCGGTGCTGTGCGGGGCAGTGTGGTGCAGTGCGGGCGCACCTTGAAGCTGGAGCCAAGCGAGGTGAACTTGGTCTTGGCCTTCTCGCCGCCGGCACTGGGTGGGAAGAGCGAGACGACAAAGGGGTCCTTGGAGTTGCCCAGCAGGTCCTGATGCTCCGCCACCACGTAGTCCTTGTTCTTGTCCAGAAACAGGTCCGACTGGTACGTCACCTGGCCATGGGGCCGCGGGAAGGGGCGGAGAGGAGTACGAAGCATGAGGCATCGGCAGCATGACCAGTGACCAGGTGCTACCTGCCTGCCAATGCACGCTGCTCTGCTCCACCATCACGTAGTCCTTGTTCTTGTCCAGAAACAGATCCTGGCAGGAGAGGGTTGGGAGAAGCAGAGGGGGCAGAGAGGTACGGAAGGAGAAGCACGGGCAGCGGGCAGCAGGCAGCGGGCAGCGGGCAGCAGGCAGAAGGCAGCAGCAGGCACAGAACAGATCATGCGCTGTAACACATTGACACTGCTCCTACCACAGACAGCACACAACACAGAGTCAAGGCTGTGATGCCGTCACCAACCAAAGCACACCCCGAAACTATGACACATACCAACCCTGTTCCATACCTCTCTCTTTGCTCGCTGTCCCACACCCCCCCATCCCCCACCCACATCCCGCATAACCCATCGCCAGTCCCCCACCCCCATCTCCCACCCCAACCCCACCCCGCACCCCCCAACGCCCCCTGTGGGTGGGTATACGAGAGCGGCACCTGCCCGGCGTAGTGGTTGATGGTGAAGTCCGTCTGCGACAGCTTGGGCTTCTCAAACCGCGGGTGCTGCGCACACGTCTGGTACAGCTTCGTGGCGAACGTCTCCGCGTTCGACTTGGGAAACATGCTGTTGGCGGTGGGGACGTGAGGGGAGTAGGGGAGGTGGGAGGGGAAGGGGGGGAGGGGGAGGGGCGGGATGGCAGTGCGGCTCTGGTGGTAGGGTAACAGGCAGTGGTTGGTGGGTGGGGCAATGGGCAATAGGCCAAAGGGAGTGTGCGCAAGGTTGAATGCGCAGATCGTGTTATGCCGGAACTTTGAGTGAAAGGAAGGGTTTAGAGTCTTGGTTCTTAAAAAGATTTAGAGTCTCAATTCAGGACAAGGAGGACCAAACCAGGCAGGGAGGGAGGTGATTCACAGGGAGGGGGGAGGGTGCAGGGCAGTGTTGGGCAGGTAGAGAAGAGTGGGGCATGGGGACGGAAGGGCAGGGTGGGAGGAGGGGGCAGGGGAAGAGGTGAGGAGGGTTGGAGGAGGGGGTGGGGCACTGACCATTGTTCGTCTAGCAGTGATATGATGCCCATTGGTTTCTGCACACATTCACGCACACACACACACACACATGCACACGCACGCACGCACACATGCACACGCACGCACACACACATGCACACGCACAGACACACACATGCACACGCACGCACGCACACATGCACACGCACGCACGCAAACACACACCCACACACACACACATACAAGCAAAGGCAGGAAGACGCTCAGCAGGCAGGAAGAGGAAAGCAAGGACAGGTGCGCGCATGGCGAGAGCATAGCAGGCAGGCACAGCACGTTGAGCTGACATGATGCATTAAAATGGCAGAAGCGGCAGGTGCGTGCGACGTGCTTTACAAACACTCGGGTATGGGCAAGGAGGAGAGGGAGGCCATGCAATCACCTGCACACAAGGAGGAAGAGAGGATGTCTCAAGGCACAAGAGTTTTAAGGTTCACTTATAATCAATCTCCGCTTTCCTCGTTCTCCTCAACTGTGTGAGAGAACACTACTCGAATGGCATTCACCTTTTGAGTCGACTCAAAAGACACTACTCGAATGGCACTCACCTGTGATTGCTTGCAAAAACCTGTTCAGGAAGGAAGGGGCTGTCAGCTAGTTTTGCAACAGATCTCTGGATATAACCATGACCGTGTATGAGCAGGCAACACAAGACCGACGGCCGGCGCTAGCACACTGCGCAGTCAGGCAGGAAAAGAACGCAGCAGTGGTCGCAGCGGCGGCAGAAGCAGCAGCAGCTGTGGTGGTGCCACCTTCTGAATAAGCTATCAGACACAGCCTAGTTGTCCACCAGCTTGATGTAGCTTATGACCAGCCAGCACATGACGATTGTTCACAGGCCCTCCTCCTAGGCTCTTGTGCTGTGATACCGCACCGCAGACAGCACCTCCCCCTGGCTGCCAACCTCTTGGGCTCTGATTATGATACCGCAGGTTCTGAATGCGCCCCAGCACGTCCTGGTTGACCACATACAAACTCGATGTAGCTCCAGTCGGAGATGATGCAAGGGGCACGATGAAACTCACCAAACCACTGCCTCAACCGAGCATGCGTGCATGCATGAGTACCTCCACTCCACAAACTCGATGTATCTCCAAAATACATGATGCATGGCGCGATGAAACTAACCAACCCACTTCCCCAACCATGCATGGTATGCATGCATGAGTATCACCAGACACCCCCAAACTACTGCTCGCCTACCCGTACCTTCTCGATGAGCTCGAGCACGTCCTGGTTGTCCACAAACTCAATGTAGCTCCAGTCGATCTCCTCTCGCTCGTACTCCTCCTGCTCTGCCTTGAACACGTGCTGGTGGGTGGTGTGAGAGCGGGTGGCACGGAGCGGAGGGGGCATAAGGGAGTGCGGAAGAGGCAGTGGGACGGAAAAACGGGTGCAACAATTGGCATACGGCATACGGAGAGGCAAGCAAATGCACGTGGAAGACACCGGACTGTGATGGCTTATGAGGAGCCTCAAAAGGCGAGTACAAAACAACGCTTGGCGTATGGGACGTGCAGAGTGATGGCACGTGTAAACACCAGTTCTTGATGGCATGTGGATCAGTGACACGAGATGAGATGGCCCAGCCATGCAGGCAACGCTTGGGTGTTGTGAAGTGCAGTACTGGCATTCAAGCAGTCTGATGTGAAGCCAGCCTGAAAGCCCTGCTGCAGCAGTCTGTGAAGTGCAGTGCAGTGCAGTGCAGTGCAGTGCGGTGCACACAGCATAGCAGTGGAAAGAAGCAGGGTACCTGGTTGAAGTGCTGCTGGAGCTTTTCGTTTGCGAGGTTGATGCAAAACTGCTCGAAACTGCCGTGTCACCATGCACACACACACAGACACATGCACGCGCATGAGCGTGCACACACGCACATACACAAACACATACAAATGCAGGGGCATGCACGCACACGCGCAGATGCAGTAAAGCACACTGGCACATTATGATGCAGGCACTGGTATGCACGGAAACACACAGATATGCACACAACAAAAACACGCACATTGTCGTGCACACATCAAGCACATAGTCACACGTGTAAGCTATGGATATGAGCACATACTTACACAAATAATGACATATTTACGCAAATGAGCATGTTGTGTTACACACAAGCACAAAGTTACACTTTATGGGACATGGTGAGAGTGAAATAGAGAGTGAAGAGGTGAATGGAAAGTGGCGGGAAAACAGAATGAAGAGGAAGAGGCGGAGCGGGGTGGGGGTGGGATGGGAATGGGGGTGGTGATGGGGGTGAAGGTGGAGGTGGGGCGGTGGAAGAATGGGTGTGACCTGTTGAACTGGAAGGTTTCGAAGCCATAGATGTCAAGCACACCGATGATGGACGCACAGTCGGGGTCCTGCCCTATGGACTTGTTCACCTTGTCCACCAGCCTGGGGCGATGGGGAGAAAGCGATGGAGGAAAAGACAATGCTACTTCTGAGACATTCACAAGGTTGGGCACGCCAATACTGGTCTTCTCTTGGTGGTTGGGTCCTGCCCTATGGACTTGTTCACCTTGTTGACCAGCCTGCCGTGCACATAGGGTGTGGGGCATGCACAGCATGGGGCAAGGGGGGTATGGGGCACAGGGGGGTAAGTCTGGGGCATGGCACAAGGGGGGCGATGGCAATGGGATACGAAGAAAGAGAGGCAAGGCAACGGCAAACAGCACAGCAGCAGTGGCCGCAGCGCGGCAGTGCGTAGAGCAGCAGTGAGCGCAGAGGAGCAGCAGCAAGAGGCAGCAGGCAGCGCGCACCAGTCGAAGAGGCGAGAGTAGATGGTCTTGGCGAGGGTGTCTCGGCTGACGACGGCAGCAGCGGGGTCCAGGTCCTTCTTGATGTTGCCATCCCGAGTCACCAACGTGCGCGTCAACAGCGACTCCCGTAGCTTCTTCTTCTCACACCTGCACACACATGCACGAGCACGCACGCACGCACATGCAAATGCACATCCCCGCATGCACGCACGGCGGGGGGGGAGTCATGGCCACAAACAGTGAAGGGCGGGCTGCAGGCGAAGCTTGATAAAATGTGACTCAAGCCAATGTGACACAGTGCTCTACGGTGCTTAAAGGTGCTGCGAGGTGCTATCAGAGGTGCAGCTAGGGCAGACGCATGCTTTTTGCCGCACCCACCCTTCCTCGCTCCTCACACACCACAGTCTTACCTGCTCCCCCCTAAGCTCCCCCTCCTCACCTTCGCACCTGAACCCCCACCCTCACCACTGCCCCTTTTCCCACACCTGCCTAGACCCCGTCCTCCTGCCTTGCCACCACAGCCGCCCTTACTGCTGTTTGCCTTATGCGCGCATGCGCCAGGGCCAATGGTCTGCCTAGTAGCCGCATGTGCCAGGCCCAATGGTGGTGGTGGTGGTGCGCCAGAGGCAGAGTGGCTCGGTGCATGTGGTGACCAATGTACAGACCAACCTAAGCGAGCACAAGTACTGCACCCATGTCCGCTAGCCTTACCTGAGCAGCTCAGCAACGGCCTCAAGGTGGAACTTGGACTTGTCGCCGTGCAGCTTGGACGAGTCCGCTGCTGTGCCCGCCTTGAATGTGATGTTGCCCAGATGCAGAATGGCCGCCACCACGCGGAATATCGACTCCTGTTGAGAGGAGTGGGGAGAGGCAGGTCAGGGAAGGCGGGAAAGAGAGCAAGAGAGCAATAAAGCTAGATGGATGGAGAGGGGTTGGTGGGGGAACGTGATGCTGCGCAGACTTTTGAGAATTCTCAAAAGTCACACGAATATAGCTGGGGTTGGTGGGGGAACGTGATGTTGCGCAGATGCAGAATGGGCACCACCATGCGGAAGGTATAAGGGGGGGAAGGGTAATGAGGGGGGTAACGACGGGTAACGGGGGGTGGGAAACAGGAGGGAGTGCAGGGATAAGGGCTGTGCGTGTGAGGATTGGGTTGGTTGAATTGCAGGGGGGAGGGGGGGAGAGGGGGGGAGAAGGGGGGGGGGGGGGGAATGATTGCGTGCTTGCCACACGTCCTTCTGCTTCAACCTGATGGTTACTGTATCAAATCAAAGTCTGCCACACCCTCACTCTCCAAATCCCCCACGAAACCCCCATGCACATCCCAAGCAACCCCCACACTCCCCCCCCCCCACACACCCCCCCCCGCGCTCCCCACTTACTCCCCATGCCCTCTCTTCCCCACTCCCCCCCACCCCACGCACCTATTTATCGAGGGTGAAACCCACAAATCCCATGGCACGGCGGGTCTTCTGGTACTCCACGGCACAACACAACCCCACGCACCCTCGACACACATCCCGCCCCCGACACACATCCTGCCCCCTACACACACCCCAAACCCTACACACAACCCACCCCCTACACACATCCCGCACCCTCCCCCCATACAGCCCCCCCTCCCCTCCGCACCTGTTCATCAAGAGTGAGCCCCACGACCTCCATGGCGCGGCGGGTCTTCTGGTACTCGACGGCGTTGGAGTCCTTGCCGGGGATCTCGTAGCAGTTGCTCTGGTTCAGGTAGTGGTACGTCTCTGCTGCGCCCAGCTTCAGCCGCGCCCGCTCCTGCTCCCAGCCACACCACAAGGTTCGGAGAGAGATGGAGACGGACAGGCGGACGAACGGACAGAGGGAAGCACGAGAGCAAGGGGCGGGTGTGTGGAGGATGGGTGGGGCAGAGGGGTGGGGTGGGGTGGGGGCGGAGAGGGATTAACGGGGTGCAGAGTGGGGAAGGGGGGAGCAGAGGTGCAATGCCGTTTGCCAGAAAGGGGAGAGGGGGTTGCGGAAGCAGCGTGAGTTGAGAGAGCATCAAGGCAGGTACGCGGCCGCCAGCAGTGGGTTGGGGGGGGGGGGGGGTGGGTTGGCTGTTAGGAGTGGAGGCAAAGCACATCAATTGTGAAACACAACACAGTGCAACAACGCAAGGCACCTCTTCAGAAGCACCGCAGCAGACTTGGTAGAAGGCGTGGTAGTTGCGCTCCGGGTCTGCTATCTGCACCACTCTGGACCGCTCCAGCAGGTACGTGCGCACTGCCGCCCCCGATATGCGCCCCGCCCGGTCAAACTGAATCTCCACGAACTTGCCAAAGCGACTGGTGGAGGCGGGAGGGGGAGGGAGGGGAGGGGAGGAGGGTGAGGAGAGTGAGGAGAAGCGAGGGAGCAGGCTGGGGAAACGGGAGAACGGGGAAAAGTGGGAGGACAGGGAGGTGTTGAATGTAAGGGAAGAATGGATGGGGGGACGAGAGAGGAGGTGGGCGGGCAAAGGAGAAGGAGGGTGGAGAGAAGGGTGACGGGTTATGTGGAGGAGTGAGCTTGCCTGGAGTTGTTGTTGCGGACAGTCTTGGCATTCCCAAAGGCCTCCAGCAACGGATTCGACTGGCACGCACACACGCAGACAGACAGGCAGGCAGGCATGGGAAAAGGAATGACAGATTGAGCAGAGGACAAGGCGCGTGCAGCAGATGGCAGGAGTGCGCGTGCAATAGGTGGAGGCCCAACAAACAATGGCATGCGAGCACGCATGCACCCTTCCCGCAAACACACATCTCCAGGCATGCCATGCCATGCCATGCCATGCGATGCCATGCCATGCCATGCGATGCCATGCCATGCCATGCGATGCCATGCCATGCCATGCGATGCCATGCCATGCCATGCGATGCCATGCCATGCCATGCCATGCCATGCCATGCCATGCCATGCGATGCCATGCCATGCCATGCGATGCCATGCCATGCCATGCGATGCCATGCCATGCCATGCGATGCCATGCCATGCCATGCGATGCCATGCCATGCCATGCGATGCCATGCCATGCCATGCCATGCCATGCCATGCCATGCCATGCCGATGCCATGCCATGCCATGCGATGCCATGCCATGCCATGCGATGCCATGCCATGCCATGCGATGCCATGCCATGCCATGCGATGCCATGCCATGCCATGCGATGCCATGCCATGCCATGCCATGCCATGCATGCCATGCCATGCCATGCGATGCCATGCCATGCCATGCGATGCCATGCCATGCCATGCGATGCCATGCCATGCCATGCGATGCCATGCCATGCCATGCGATGCCATGCCATGCCATGCCGATGCCATGCCATGCCATGCGATGCCATGCCATGCCATGCGATGCCATGCCATGCCATGCGATGCCATGCCATGCCATGCGATGCCATGCCATGCCATGCGATGCCATGCCATGCCATGCCATGCCATGCCATGCCATGCCATGCCATGCGATGCCATGCCATGCCATGCGATGCCATGCCATGCCATGCGATGCCATGCCATGCCATGCGATGCCATGCCATGCCATGCCATGCGATGCCATGCCATGCCATGCGATGCCATGCCATGCCATGCCATGCCATGCCATGCCATGCCATGCGATGCCATGCCATGCCATGCGATGCCATGCCATGCCATGCCATGCGATGCCATGCCATGCCATGCGATGCCATGCCATGCCATGCGATGCCATGCCATGCCATGCGATGCCATGCCATGCCATGCGATGCCATGCCATGCCATGCGATGCCATGCCATGCCATGCGATGCCATGCCATGCCATGCGATGCATGCCATGCATGCCATGCCATGCCATGCCATGCCATGCCATGCCATGCCATGCGATGCCATGCCATGCCATGCGATGCGATGCCATGCCATGCCATGCGATGCCATGCCATGCCATGCGATGCCATGCCATGCCATGCCATGCCATGCCATGCCATGCCATGCCATGCCATGCCATGCCATGCCATGCGATGCCATGCCATGCCATGCGATGCCATGCCATGCCATGCGATGCCATGCCATGCCATGCGATGCCATGCCATGCGATGCCATGCCATGCGATGCGATGCCATGCCATGCCATGCCATGCCATGCCATGCCATGCCATGCCATGCCATGCCATGCCATGCCATGCGATGCCATGCCATGCCATGCGATGCCATGCCATGCCATGCGATGCCATGCCATGCCATGCGATGCCATGCCATGCCATGTGATGCCATGCCATGCCATGCGATGCCATGCCATGCCATGCCATGCCATGCGATGCCATGCCATGCCATGCGATGCCATGCCATGCCATGCGATGCCATGCCATGCCATGCGATGCCATGCCATGCCATGCGATGCCATGCCATGCCATGCGATGCCATGCCATGCCATGCCATGCGATGCCATGCCATGCGATGCCATGCCATGCGATGCCATGCCATGCCATGCCATGCCATGCCATGCCATGCGATGCCATGCCATGCCATGCGATGCCATGCCATGCCATGCGATGCCATGCCATGCCATGCGATGCCATGCCATGCCATGCGATGCCATGCCATGCCATGCGATGCCATGCCATGCCATGCCATGCCATGCCATGCCATGCCATGCCATGCCATGCCATGCCATGCCATGCCATGCCATGCCATGCCATGCCATGCGATGCCATGCCATGCCATGCGATGCCATGCCATGCCATGCGATGCCATGCCATGACATGCGATGCCATGCCTGCACAGACGGCATGGCAGTGCGAGCAGAGCAGGTGTGTGCAGAGCATGGGTGCAGCAAGGGCGCAGTGACCTCTCAAGGTGACCTTGGAGTAGAGTAAAAAGGCAAGGCAAGGGAGCACGCACCTCAAGCACTTGGGACTCGATGGTGCGGCCGTCAGAGGAGGCGCGGCCTCCCATGTAGGCGAGGTACTGCATGATGAGCTTCGTTGTCTCCGTCTTGCCTGCTCCACTCTCCCCACTCACCAGGATGGACTGGCTCGCCCCATAGTCCACCATCGCCCTGCTTGATGCCCATGCCCATGCCCATGCCCATGCACACAAGGATATGCACACGCACATGCCCGTGCCATGCCCATGCCCATGCCCATACACACGCGCACGCACATGCACGAACACATGCACGCATACATACACGCATGAACGCAAGTGCGACTGCAATGACACGTGCCCATAAACATGCACACACCAGTGCGAGTGAACCCAAGCGTACATGTGAAAGAAACATCCGGCACCCGGCACACACATACATCCTTAGGATGCATCTCCTCCCTCCCCACGATTGATCCTGCGCAGGATCGATCCTGAGGGTGTATGAGATGAGACAACTGTTACGTGGCATCGCAGCTCTCAGGGTTACCTAATCTCGCAGCCATTAGCAGATCTACAGCAAAGAGATTCACACGATCATGTCCTCTCCGGTTTTGCGATCGATGTGCATCCCTGCCCACACCAATCTCGGCTTTTTCACGATCAATGCGGATGCCCCTATTTTTGTCCACTGCACACCCGACCCTGTCACCCTGCGATTGCAAATCTGCTGTCACCTCCTCCCAAACGTGCCCCAATCCTGCGATCGGTGTGGACGGTCAGTTTTTCACAGCAATCCTCCCTCGACCACGAGGCCAACACTCCTCACAGGCAGCACACGCATGCGACAGCATTCACCCTCACAGCACCATGCACCCATACCACCATGCATCCTTGCCTCCCTGCCTGCCCACCTGCATGTGGCCTCTAACATGCTAGCACATGCGGCAACAGCTCCCCCAGGCGTGTGCGCTTAACCTCTGCATTGCAGCACGTGCTCTGCTGTGCCGCGCCATGTGCTCGTCACACACATGTTGCACTCACAACAAGTGCACCTGGCATCGGCGCACGCACGCTCACAAGCGCACACAAAGCATGCACAAAAGCACGCACACACAAGCACACCCACCCGCCCGCCCGCCCACCCACCTGTACGCAGCCTCAGCAATGGCAAAGACGTGAGGGGAGAGCTCGCCTAGGCGAGTGCCCTTGTACTGCTCCATCATCTGCTCGTCGTACAGATGCGGCAGCGCACAGAACGGGTTGATCGCTATCAGAATGCTCCCCGTGTACGTCTGTGTGGCACTCACGCACAGGAGGGGGAGAGAGGGGTGGGGAGTGGAATAAGAAAGAGGGGGAGTTGGTTTGAGGATGGTGGATGATGGGCAGGCGGAGCAGAGCAGATGATGGTGTGTGGCCACTGTGACATGTGGTGGTGGTTCTTTAGTCGACTCAAAAGCATGTCGTGGTGGTGGTGGACGGGAGGGGGTACAGACGAGGCCAGTGTGGGAGGGGTGAGTGCTGTGCCAGTAGTAGCAGGGCGGCCGCAGCAACTCACGCTGAATCACTGCAATCCAGCACGTGCAGCACCATGTGCAGAGTCACAACAAGTGCACCCCGTCATGGGTGCACCCTCACAAGTGCGCACACAACCACGCAAGCATGCACACACACAATCACACAGCTATCCATGCTCTGCCTAGAGACACACACCAGACCTGCACTGCACACACACATACAGCAGCCAAACGCCACCGTTCCAAAAACTACCATCCCTCGTACCATCCCCCATACCCCCATGACCATCTGATTCACTGCATATCTCACGACTGCACACATGGATCGCATCAATAAAGCATCGCACAAAGAGACTGCGATTTCTTAATTGACTCAGCAACCATTTCTTATAGCAGAGCATTGTGGGAGGAGCGAGGGGACGCCTGTGGCAGACGCTAGGTGCGCACGTAGATCTCGTCGATGGAGTATCGTAGGAAGAGGTTGTGCAGCACGCCCGGCTCGTGCAGGTATGATAGCTTGGTCATGTCGTCCACCCCACAGCTCGGTGCATCCTCGTCCCGCGGATGGCAGTGCTTCAACCGAATCACGGTCTGCGAAGGTAGCGAGGGGGGAAGAGAGAGCAGAGGGTGGAGAGCAGAGGGCAGAGAGCAGAAAGTAGACAGCAGGGGGAAGAGAGGGGAGAGGGGAGGGAGAACAAGAAGGGAGAAGCAGGGAGGAGAGAGATTCAGTGCTTCATGAGGGGAGTGGAAGAAGGCAAGAGAATCATCGATGTGGGTTGCAGTGCTTCATATGGATGTCGGTGCAGTCGTTGCTTTGCTTGACGACGTCACCTGCGCCACCACAACGAGCTCCACTCCACCAAATCTCTGGAGCACAGCAGCACGCTGTGAGGCTCACAGATGGGTGCAATAAAGGCCTGTCCTGAGACCTGTCCCATCCTTCCCCTTGCACCTGCCAGCGCAAGTGCAAGTGCAAGTGCAAGTGCAAGAGCAAGTGCAAGTGCAAGTGCAAGTGCAAGTGCAAGTGCAAGAGCAAGTGCAAGTGCAAGTGCAAGTGCAAGTGCAAGTGCAAGAGCAAGTGCAAGTGCAAGTGCAAGTGCAAGTGCAAGTGCAAGAGCAAGTGCAAGTGCAAGTGCAAGTGCAAGTGCAAGTGCAAGTGCAAGTGCAAGTGCAAGTGCAAGAGCAAGTGCAAGTGCAAGTGCAAGTGCAAGAGCAAGTGCAAGTGCAAGTGCAAGTGCAAGTGCAAGTGCAAGAGCAAGTGCAAGTGCAAGTGCAAGTGCAAGTGCAAGTGCAAGAGCAAGTGCCCTTGCACCTGAGTGCGACTCACCTCCTTGCCCTTGTAGCTCACAGTAGCCTTCTTCTTCTCCACGGCTGTCACCATATAAACTTCCAACTCCCTCCGGTGTTACTTTTGAGAATTCTCAAAAGCCTCCACGCGATAATAGCTCTCCTTGAAGAAAATGATTCGTGTGCCATTGCAATGAGGTGGCTTTTGAGTCGACTCAGGAGCCACCTGCGTGCGCCTCACCTCCTTGCCCTTGTAGCTGACAGTAACCTTCTTCTTCTCCACGGCTGTCACCACGGCATCCACCCATGCCTCCTCGGGGTCCTCCACCCACACGTGCGACCCCACCACCACCACTGACGGCGCCTGCTCGCACCCGGGAGAGGCAGGAGGGGAGGGAGAGGGGGAGGGAGGGAGAGGTGGGTGGGGCAGGAGGCCAGGGCTTTGGCAAGATGGTAAGGGAAGGATGATGCACGCATGCATGGAATTACTGTGAGAGTGGGAGCAGGGAGGCAAGGCAGGGAGAGTAGGGGTTAGAGAGGTGGGTCTCCCTTCGTCTCCTCTATCATCGACACACAATCGGACTCTTATGGACTCATGCTCGCACTGTGGCCACTGTTACCCATGCTCCAACACCCTCCCTCTTCCTTTCCCCTCTCCCACTATCCTCCCAACCCCCCTCCTCCAACATATTCCTCCTTTCCCGCCTCCTCGTCTTCCTTCCCCACTCTCACTTCCCGCTCGTTCAGACCACCGCTGAAAATCTTCCAGACTCCCACCTGCCTCTCCGTTTTCCCTCCTCGCGATTACCCTCCCTGCCCTCTCCCTCCGCACATATCGCCCTGCACCTGCACGTTCAGCCACGGGAAGCAACTCCTTCCGTTCCGTCCACCCTAGACCCCAACCCTCCCCCCCCCACCTCCTTTCCCCTCCTCTGCTTTCAACTTCTCTCCTTTCCAACCCTCTCCTTTCCCTCCTCTCCGTTCCCCTCCTCTCCATATCCCCCCTCTCCTCCCCCCCATCTCCTTTCCCTTCCTCTCCTTTCCCCCCTCTCCTTTCCCCCTACTCTCTTTTTCCCCCTCTCCTTCCCAACCCCTCTCCTTTCCCCCCTCCTCTTTTCCGCCCCTCTCCCTTCGTCCCCCGCCTTCTCCTTTTCCCCCCTCTCCTTTCCTTCACCCCCTCTCCTTTCCCCCTCTATCGTTTCCCTCCTCTCCTTTCCCCTCCCCTCCTTTCTTCCCACCCCTCACGTTTCCCCCTCTCTCCTTTCCCGACTCTCCTTTCCCCCCCCTCTACTTTTCCCCATCTCCTTCCCCCCCTCTCCTTCATCCCCCCTCCTTTCCCCCCCTCTCCTTTCCCCCCTTCTCCTTTCCCCCACTCTCCTTTCCCCACCTCTCCTTTCCCCCCACTCCTTCCCTCTCTCTCCTTTCGCCGCCTCTCCTTTTCCCCTCTCCTTTCACCCCCGTTCCTTTCCCCCACTCTTTCCCCCTCTCTCCTTCCTCCCCCCTTTTCCCCCCTCTTCTTTTCTCCCATCCTTTCCCCCTCTCTCTTTTCCCCTTTTTTCCTCCCCCCCTTTCCTTTCCCCCCCTCTCCTTTCCCCCCCCTCTCCTTTCTTTCCTCTCCTTTCTCCCCCCCTCTCCCCCCTCCTCCCTTCCCCCCCTCTCCTTCCCCTCCTCTCCTTTCTTTCCCCCCTTCTCCTTCCCCCCCCTCTCCTTCCCCCCCTCTCCTATCCCTCCTCTCCTTTCCCCTCCTCTCCTTTCTTCCCACCCCTCACCTTTCCCCCCTCTCCCTTCCCCCTTCCTCCTTCCCCCCTCTCCTTCACCCCCTTCTCCTTCCCCCTCTCTCCTTTCCTCCCCTCTCCTTTCCCCTCCTCTCCTTTCCCTCCTCTCCTTTCCCTCCTCTCCTTTCCCTCCTCTCCTTTCCCCTCCTCACCTATCTTCCCATCCTTCTCCTTCCCAACCCCCCATCTACTTTTCCCCATCTCCTTCCCCCCTCTCTCCTTCCCCCCCTCTCCTTTCCCCCCCTCTCCTTTCCCCCCACTCCTTCCCCCTTTCTCCTTTCGCCCCCTCTCCATTTCCCCCACTCCTTTCCTCTCTTCTCCTTTTCCCCCCTCTCCTTTCCATTTTTTTCCTTTCTCGCCTCTCCTTTCCCCCCTTCTCGTTCCCAGCCCCCCCTCCTTTCCCCCCCTCTCGTTCCCCCCCCTCTCCTTTCCTCCCCCCTCCTTTCCCCCCCTCTCGTTCCCCCCCATCTCCTTTCCCCCCCCCTCCTTTCCCCCCCTCTCGTTCCCCCCCCTCTCGTTCCCCCCCCTCTCCTTTCCCCCCTTCCCGTTCCCCCCCCTCTCCTTTCCCCCCCTCTCCTTCCCCCCCCTCTCGTTCCCCCCCCTCTCCTTTCCCCCCCTCTCCTTTCCCCCCCCTCCTTCCCCCCCCTCTCCTTTTCCCCCCTCTCCTTCCCCCCCCTCTCCTTTCCCCCCCTCACCTTCCCCCCCCTCTCCTTTCCCCCGCTCTCCTTTACCCCCCTCTCCTTTCTCCCCCCCTTTCCCCCTTCTCCTTTCGTCCATTCACTACGCCCGCAACACTACCTCGTGTCAACCCACTTCACCACCTCTCCCCGACCGACCGCTTCTCCTCACCACCTTTGCCCTCGTGCTTGCACCCGCCGCAAGCACGCAACTGACCTAGACGCACCGGCGCTGCTACCACTCACTCTCCACCCTCCCGCGCGCCGGTGGGTGGCCTGGCAGCGCGGGGGGCGGCATCGAAGCGCCTTTGACGCGCGAAGCTTAGAGACTAATCGCACAAGCGAGGGCCTAAACGTTACGATGGCTCTTGTCCGACGAGCGACACGGCAGACGAGAGCCGTAAAAGTGGATTAGAAGGCACGAACGCACGATGGCCGCACAGAGTCGCGAGGGCGCGACGCGTGGATCGTCACAGCACGCGCCCGCGTGATCTAACGGTTGAACGAAGAGCACGCACCATTCTCGCCGCGTGCTGCCAGTGGCGCCAGCACGAGGAGTTGAAATAAACGCGACCACAAGGCGGCTTTCAGTCAAACGATTCGCGCGTTGGCCTATCACAGACAGTCTTGGGACGCATGCAAGGCGCGACGCTGATTCGGGTTGCTCAAGGGGTTGGGCTACGCCATAGCTTGGACCGTTGAGCAACGCGAAGGCGTAAACTAGTCTGGCGGAAAATGGCACAAAGGACAGAGTTGTGTGTTGTCAACTCCGTCGCAGTTGGATCCGCTATGTGGGTCTCGCTGATAAGCGCGAAGTCTACATTGTTGTTATTATTCAAATCAATCTAACCCGTGAACTTTGTTGTACCGCATGAGGTCAGAAGCGCAAAAAGAAAACGAAAATCTCTTTATGATTCCTGAAAGACAGTAAATACCAATGGTCAGGGCAAAGTATCTACTGGCCATGAAATCAGAGGCAAAAGAACAGCCTGTAAGCCCTGTAGGATGTGAAGTCAAACATGTGATGTCACGTACCAGCACCTGGAGTTCTCTGAGGTGTTTCACATCATGATCATGTACCGTAGATGCAAATATTGCTGTTATGGTACCAAAGTGCATACACAACACCACCACAAACAATCTCCCTCCGGATGTACGGTACGTGCATGTTAGCAGATGTGCCTTGGAAGTTGGAATTGGAACGGTCAATTGACAGCCTGTTTATAGTACAGCTTCAGTTCTACGATACCAGCATGGCTGCCTGCAACCAATCCTTCCTAGTACAGCTTCTTCAGTGTCTGCACGCGTGCCTTCTTGGCGGCATGCTTCTGTGCCTTGGTCTCTGTCTTCTCTCGGATCGCAAGCGCCTTATCAAGCAGCTTCTGCTTCCTCCTCGTCTTGGCTCGTCGCTCCGGTGCCCCCTTCTTCCTATCTCAAAACAACTTCTGAGGCGCCTAAACCAACTTTAATACACATTAAGTGGGAGGCTCACCGCATGGCTGGCAGCGCGGGTATGCTGCGAGCAGCATCAGCCGAAGCCTTGATCACCGTGAACCCCATCGTCTCACTCGTGTCTGTCAGAGGGGGGAGGAGGCAGGGAGAGGGGGGGGAGAGGAGGAAGGGGAGATGGAAGGGGAAGGGGAGTATGGAAGGCACGCGGGGAGTGTAAGTTGGGGTGGTGACTTGGGGAGTGCGGCTGTGGGCATTGCCAGCCGACGCACGCCTTGATCACTGTGCACCCCATCGCCTCACGCGTGCCCGAGGGGAGGGTGGGTGGGGCGGCTGGGGGAGGTTTGGAGGGGTGATGTTGAGCGAAAAGAGGAGAGAGAGGAGAGAGAGGGGGGGAGATGTAGAGAGGGCCACGGAGGGGAGGGGGGGTGAATTTTGTTGCCGTTGGCTGCCTGGCTTGTGTGAGAGGGGGCGCGCAAGGCGGGAAAGGGGAACAGGGAGGGGTTCCGGGGGAGAAGGGGAGAGGGAGAGCGTGCGGGGCAAGGGTGCCGGAGGTGAAGGGCGAGTGGGGCGGGATGAAGCGTGGGGGGGGAGTGGGGGGAGATAAGGAGGCAGGAATCGATGAAGAAGACGAGAGCTGCTATAGCGAATGCAACATGATTTCTAGGTACCTTGCGAATAACGCGGGGGTGCTTCTAATGAGATTGAAGAGCGAGCAAGGCAGGGAATGCTGAGGCGATGAGACGTGTGAACAGCTCAGGCGACGAGATAAGTCATTGCCCAAGATTCAGGGTTTCCTCTATCCTTCATGTTAAGCCAAGTCAATGTAATGGCTCCCCTCCCATTGCCGTTTCCCCCTTTTAATCTTCCACTTACCCATTGCATTGCCGCTAGCGATCGGACCTCCCGCCTCCAGGCCGGATGCAGCGGCGCCTCCCTCGGCGGCTGAAGCGGAGGGAAATCCTGCGGACGCGGCGTCCTTAGCGGTTCCCGCGGTGGATGTCACGGCGGATGTCACGGCAGCGTCGCCAATGTCCATGTCGCCAGCCCCGTCCTGGTTCTTAGCCTTCCGCTTCTTCACCATTTTCGTCGAGGAAAAAGAAGATCTGTAGATATTTGAAGGAAAATAAAACCAAGCAGTTTCAGCGGGTTATCACCTAATAACTAAACGGCGGAGACGGATTGAAGGGGTTGGAACGGTCTTTCCACACATTTGATAGGTGGTGTTCCGCATATAAACCCCCGTGCCAGCGACTTCTGCCAGTCACCCAGAACCCAGAAGGGGTTCGCACGTGGGTTTTGGGCCAACTTCATCAGCATTCAAAATAAGCCGGAGAATACTTTGCAGGTGCGTGCCATTTCGTCTGTAATCGATCACTCCTGTCAGCCAGTCGGGTCAAATAGCCGGTCCGACTAGCCTCCGGCCAGTCGCGAAAGTCCGAAGGTCCGTCAGCTCTCCGCGGGCAGAAACAGTCAACCCACCTGGGATAGCATGCAATGGAGAATGATAAACTATAGACATGAGGGGAAAACTAGGAGTTTATGATTGACTCCTTCTCAATGGAGTTTATTTTCTGCCCCTCTGACGACGGCCGGTGGTTTAACGACATTGCCTCACGGGCCGACTGCTATGTTTGAAATACGGGCAAAACTAAAATATATCTAAATATGAAGTTGGCCCATTTGTTGTTCCATGCTATTGTGCGATACCAATGTCTACAGTACAGAAGTGTGATGAAGTTGAGAACAGAAACAAAACGTTTTCGTGCGGTAAAGAGTGGTATCCGCTACAATGGGATGCCCATGAAGCCACGTGGGATGCGTGGGATTGGCTAGTGATTTCTTCAGCAGTGTGCCAAATGCTTCAGTCGGACCATCCTCGGTTGCTTCAGCCGCTGTTTTTCACTAGTCGTCTTAGTCAATGCGGCTGTTCTTTCTACGGGGAGAATGAGTGAATAATGTTGGTCCATCGCAAAGGTTGTCGCCAGATTCCGCAATCAACAAATGTCTGTTCGCCCGTTACTACGCAAACGTGACGAACCAAGCACGCTGCATGGTAACCTGTACACTCGAATTGGGCGCCCCGATTTTCGCCGCTGTGAGATGCTGCATCCCTCACGCGGGGTTCCCAAACAGTGGCCAACTCTCGCTCATTCTCTAAACCACTTGCTTTCGCGAACGACAGAAGTCGTGGATCATGATGCTTGAGGGGAGGGAAATTGGTGATGCCTTGGGGAGCACTCGTCCTTCTTTTTCACGTTCTTCATGCACTTTCCTCCCACCCACTTCGCAGCGTCGTCTATTCTCTAATAAAAAGGATCCTCACAGTTGAACCATTTTTCCGCAAATGCAAAAGAAGTCAGCAGACATACGAGTCCTCATCCACAGTCGGTCGCGTATGAAAGGGAACCTCAAGGTGAACTGCTTCCCGCAAACGCAAATGGAGTTTAGGAAGCATACGAGTTCCTCCTAATCCGCCGCTGATCTCTCAGCCCTGCCGAATTTGTCAGCGCCTCTTTGGACGTAAAGCCTTTACCACCTTCCACATTTTGAAGCCAGTCAAGCCAGCATGTCTGATTGACCCGGCGCATCGCATCTCATCCCAACCCCCGAAATCCACGTCGGGTCAACACATCCCCACTCATGAGCAATGAGGATAGCTTTTTCGATTCTCCGGATTTCAACGCGAATGGCGGCTGGGCAGATACCTTTGCATTCGCTCTTGGAGACCCGCCGGCTCTTGGAGACCCGCCCGCGCTTGGAGACGCGGCGGCCAGTGAAGACGCGCCCGCCGTTGGAGATGCGGCTGCCGGTGGAGAGGTCTTAATACTTCCATTCGGCGGCTCCACGGCGCCTTCCGGCGAAGCGCAAGGCGAACTAATGGGCGAATTCCATCGCGAGATGATACCCGGCGAAGTGATGGAGATTGATAGAGGACTCGCTGCGGCGGACTACGGTTTCTGGCAAGGAAACGACACGACGGACCACTTCCAAGCATTGCATACTGATGAAGCGATGGACTTCTCGTCCACCATGTGGAACTTTCAAGTCGCCAGCGCTTCTTTTGAGGCTCTGCCCGCAAATCCCGCCGCGATAGGCGGCGAATCTGCTCAGCCGACTGGGACTCCGCCTATGAGTGTCGAATCGGCATCGGCAGGTGACGCCACGGCACAGAAGCTGCAATACGCGAGTCAGTGTGTTGGCAGTGGCGTTGGCGAGGGTGAGATTGAGGGTGCTGATGCCGACGATGATGACGGTGCTGACGCTGATGCTGTTTCTAATGTCAATGCTGATGCAAAAGGCGAATGGACGGCAGAGCAGCAGCACGGGAAACAGGTTGCTGGCAGTGGCGTTGCCGTCGGTGAGATCGGTGGTGCTGGTGCTGGCGGCACGGGGCTGACCATCGCAGGATTGGTACAGCAGATCAAGCAACAAAAAAGGCAGGAGGGTGCGAGTGGTTTCCACTGCGCCAGGAATTCAAAGCACCACCTGGCAGAAGTGTCGAGTCAACACATCCCACTCATGAGCAACCACCATTTCGATGCTCGCCCCGTCTTACCCCTTCAACTGCAAACAACAGATTTGATCGGAGGCGCCTCAACCCCTGTGGTGCAGTCAGCTTCAGCAGCTGTGCAGCCGGAGGAAACTTCCAAAGGGGGGGACAAACTAGAGCCTTTAAAAAGGCAAATAAGGGAGAAGGGTAACAAGAGGGCGAAACTCATCGGACCTGCTGCTTCTGCTCCCATTCCTACCACCCCAACAACTCCTACTACTTCAACTAACCCATCCCCATCCGCTCCTGCCAGTCCGGCCGGTGCTGTGTCATCTGCTTCCAGTTCAGATGCACCTGCAGCTGTAAGCACGAGCCCGAGTTGTGCAAACTACAGGTGGCACAACAATGGAAACAAAATAATCCAACTGAAAGGGGAATCTCGCTTTCTGAGAAAGTACTACCGCTGCAGTCTACATGTGGCAGGCTGTCGGGCGACGAGGACCGTTGATGTTGTTGACGGTCAGCCACTGAGAGTGGAGTTTCAGGGCGCACACAACCATGAACCGCCCGCTAGGAGAGAAAAACAAGGTCGTACACAGGGCTTTTAAAGCCCAATACCTACTGCATAAGTGCCAGTAAAAACTAGCACATACTACTAGATGTCTTCTTCCTCTTGTACAACAGTGTGCTTTGTTATTTAGGAGTAGTTTTGCTGTTTTGTTCCAATTCAGCAATAATGTGATTTGTTAATTACGAGTCCAGTGTATTTGCTTGGAGTGAGTAAATGACACCATGGATTACAAAGACCCATGTTTTCACTTACATACGGCATCGAAAAGCGGGAAAGAGGGCCTACAGGCAAAAGCAACTCTGCAAAGGAGAGTGCTCCTGCTGCAAACGATGCGGTGGAACGAGGGGTAAGCCAAGAAAAGGTGGAGGATGTGGAGCAGCTGTCGCCGCAGTCACTCCCGCAACTGTAACACTCGCTTGTGTCGTCCTCAGGTACTTGCACCCAGAGCTGCGGCTGCGGCTGCGGCTGACGATTTTTCAAGTCGCGCGGAGAGATGAGAGAGTGGCAACGGGCTTTAGCATCTGGCCGTTGGATCTCATAATCGCAGTGCACCGTTAACATTAGCGCTTGTCCCCGCGTCACTACTGAGAAGTTCATGCTGACTAGTCCAGGACGTTGAGAGACACATGTACAGGAATGAAAGCAAAAGAAGGTGCAACGTTCGTAAGGATAGCTCAAGCGGCTGAAGAAAGTATTCGTAATAGTTGCTAATTCTTGACGCCACAAACCTGATATTGTGTCAACTATCTACTTATGCTTGAGCTTACACTCAGACGGGCTTTTCATGGCGGGGCATGGATAGGGAGCTTCGATGGGCTGGTGAACAAGGCTGTCGATTCAAGGGCATTTGCCCTTAATGCCCTGAACATTCCGGGTTATTTTGGGCGCAGCTCGACCATTTTAAGGGTTTGACCGGACTGGCACCCGTGCCAGTTAAGGGCATCGTTTGGCCCTTCCCCGGATGCGTTAAGTGCTCAATCTGGGCCGTCCCCTGAATCTAAGTTCTACTCTCGGTTCCGCAGACCCCCCCTCCAAAATCTTGCGGAAGACGCCCCTACCCTACCCCCCCTTTCCATGAAAGTTGCACGATAGGGCGCCATGTGGAGGATGTTTCACTCGATTTCTATCCAATCTAGTGTGTGTGTAGTAGTGTCGAAGTTAGCAGATGAGTAGAAATGCAGTAGGTAGTGCAGCTGTAGTTGTAGTTGGAAGTTGTGACACACATGTTGACTAGAGTAGTTAGTAGTGAAAAGTATGTGATTTTCTTGTCAAGGATGTTGTTTAGGTTAGTCAAATACACAACACTTTGGAGCCCGGATTTCAAGTTTACACTTCGGCCTGCACCCGTGACCGTTAAGGGCAAAAATTTGGTCACCTCCCTGAAAATCAGGGTCAGAATTTCAGCAGCTGAGGGCCTCAAGTTCTACCCCCAGGGATATCGACAGCCCTGCTGGTGAACCATGCGCAGCTCGGCTTGGCTGGAGCTGCGAATCTGTCGGCTTCGGCAAAATTCTGAAAACGCGTTGAATCGTGAAGAAACGTTTCGTGCGCAGCAGATGGAAGCGAAATTCGAGCAAAACACATACGTGGCAGAAAAGTTCACGTTTGGTGCGACGAAGCTGTTCCACCGTGGCGTGCGTTTCACCGAGCCGAAACTTGGTTTGCCTGCGCGTCGCGGTTCAACCTACGAATCACGACTCTGCACCTTCCTCCCACCCCACACAATCCCCCATATCCAACGAGACCTCTCTTATCGCACGTACGGACCTTCTCCTGAGTGTAGTGCACTTTTTCCCCTGCTCGATAGGCAGTGTAAACCCTCGCTGGGCTAGTGTTATGAGTTGTGAAAGAGAAGAGTGCGCAGAATTCAATAACGCGGAAGTGATTACAACGTCTGAGCAAACATCGAGGCCTAGGACTAATATAGCAGTGCTAGCTAGGCCGAGGTTGTTGCGATATGAATTTACATGAGAAGGCATTCCTGTATGCTGCAGGAGCCGACTCTACCGAGTACGAAGTC